ATAAATAAAATTTGAATTACAATGTTAGCTCTCTTATAAGCTGTCCAACTTTGAACGATAATTCTAGTTGCTACTATTGATTGACTATGTGCTCATTAAGTGCCATATACTGTGAAAAACACTGTAGGTGTATTAGTTGATTATTTGAGTTCTGCCACTTAACTAGCTGTGTGACTTTGGGGCAAGTTACTTAATGCTTCTATGCTTTAATATATAAATCTAGCCTATATGTAAAAATTGATATTGATAACAATGGTACCTACCTCATAAGTTTTTTGGGAGAAAGATACGTTACCTAGAAGACAAGGAGCACAGGGCTTGGCTCATAGTGTTTAATGAATATTAGCAACAATAATACTATGTGACAGGATTTATGCCAGTAGCTGGGGACAAGAAGCTTAATAAGACACACTTCCAGCCCTCCCTCATTGTCAGGAGTTTATAGAATAGTAGGGGAGTGGAGATGGGTGGATAAAGGAGATACTGAGCCCAAAGGAAGAAGCAATCTGCTCTTCTTTTTACACCAACAGGAACTAAAATCCAATTTGCTCAGTTTGGTAGGTCTTCGCTAATAAGATATTCGAGTTAGGCTGTTGAAAGAGGAGTAGTTCATTTAGTGGAAAGAAAAAACAGGACAGGCCGAATGACATGGAATCAAGAACATAAAAATCAAGGAGTGTTTGGGGGAACTTTAAGTAGTTGGATGTTGCTAAAGTATAGAGCGTGAAGCAAGAAACTAATCTTTAATGATGGAAGCTCACCCTCCAGTTCCTGAAGCCGTGGAGATTTTGTCTCTTAGTCCTTACAAGCACTCTGTAAAAGGAAAAGATATATTTTTCATTTAGAGGCGATTCTGTTGTCATTTACCCCAGGGCAGAGATCAGGACTGCCCAATTTACAGTTGTGAGCGGTCAGCGAACATCCTGTTATTACATGGGCAAATGATTCTATTTCAGGAATTTATGGCCCAAACACTGGGTACTCAGCTCTCTGAGTTGAGTAGATAGATATTGAGATTTTTGGAATTATAGGATTGTTGTAAGAATTAAATGGTGTCATGTCTCATCTCAAACACAGAAAATGAAGTGTCAAGATAGAAAAAATACTTTAATAGCAATAGCACTTAGCATGATAAGTACTCAATAAATGTTGCTATTGTAATCATTATTGTTAATGAAAGTCTCACAGATATTACCACTATTACGATTATCAGTAATAGTAGTTTCATTAATTATTACTATTGTTACTGATGATTGCTAATAATATTACTAGTAGTGATAATGTTCGTGAAGCTTTTATTCACACCCCTTAGGGGGCCGAGCACCCTAGTTTGTTGAAAGAATTGATGTTGAACACAAGTGATGGAATAATGAATGAATGCTGGGCATCATACTAGGTCCAGTGGTGGGTATAGCAATAGATCAAGAGAGTAGCAAAGGAACCAGGTTCCCTCTGCTTTTCTTTCTGGGGGAGCAGCTGGGTGGTTTCTTAATGATGCATGTCCATCCCTCAATCAGTAATGACTTGCCCACTTAGCTTGTGGCCAGCTCTTTGCCAGGAACAGGGTAGGCACTAGGGAGAAATGAGCAAATCTCAGCATGACTGGTAATGATGGAGGATACAAGAGAAGAAATCTCTTCCTCAAGGGTGGTCCTTTGGGTCATTAGCATGATCACTGGATTGCTGTCCAGTATGGTGGTTAAAAGCATAGATTCTGGAGTCAAACTGTCTCTTACCCACTGTGTGATCTTTGACAAGTCATTGAACCTTGATTAATGTAGTATGGATGTAATAGTGATACCTAGCTCATAAGGTTTCATGAGACTTAAATGAAGTAACAAACCGAAAGCGCTTAGTACAGACCCTGGCACATAACTTTAACTTAAAGTTCATTGTCTTATTGTTTATTTTTCTGCAGGGTTAAAAAAAATTTTTTAAAAATTGCTCTGCAGATAATCTGCAGGCAGAGACAGGAGTCACTATTGCCTTCCCCAGTGACTTATTTTGCATATGCTGTCCTAAACTTCTGGGAAGCTCTGTGCATCTACACTCCCTGGAGTTCGAGATTTAAAGCTATGCTAGACTGACTCAGTCAGTCCTTTCTGTGCTCAAAGTGGATATACTAATACAAAGAGGCTTACTGAGCCCGGTTTTGGGGATAAAATCTTACACTCTGGGATCTGCTAAGTCCTGGCCTCCACGCTCCTCCTTCCCCCAGAGTTGGACTTCCTGAGCTTGGCAAAGCAGGGTCCAATATCCAGGAACAGTGAGGAATGCCAAAAGAACTCCTTGAGAATGAGATGTATATAAAATATATAACTGAGATGTAGACCCTGCATTCCTGTAATGTCTCCAAAAGATGCCATTGCCTTCTATTTTTTCCCAGTTCCAATCTTTGAATTGAGATTTCTGATAAGAGACATAATTAAGAGTTAACGTTCTGGCCCAGTGCAGTGGCTCAGGCCTGTAATCCTAGCATTCTGGGGGCTGAGGCAGGAGGATCGCTTGAGGTCAAGAGCGAGACCCTGTCTCTACCAAAAATAGAAAAAATTAGCCTGGCATGGTGGTGCATGCCTGTAGTCCCAGCTACTCAGGAGGCTGAGGCAGGAGGATCACTTGAGCCCAACAACTGGAGGTTGCAGTGAGCTGTGATGATGCCACTGCACTCTAGCCTGGGTAACAGAGTGAGTGACTCTGTCTTAAAAAAGAAAAAAAAGAGTTAACACTCTGTGCATTTAAAAATTTCTAGATTTCTGTTTTCCCTTAGATCAGCATGCCCAGTAGAAATACAACGTGAACAACATGTGAAATTTAAAATTTTCTAGTAGCAGCATCAAAATCAAAAAGACATAA